AAAACAAGCCCAAAGGCAAACCACATTACCAATTCTAACTTATAAACATTAATATTGTTCAAAAGTATCCAGACTTAAAACAAGACAAGGCAACATGAAACTTAGCTTTGTGATTCCTTATCGTAATCTTTGTTAGGGGACTTAGGCTTCTTAGAAGGATAGCAACCACCACCATCATCGTTAGTGTCAGAGAAGTTAGAATCAACATTGTCACAGCTTCTTGGCAAACCAAGCTTCCTAGCTTGCCTTCTGTACCAATTAGGAGGCCAGTAGTCAGAATCTGCAGGAGGCATTCTAGGTGGGACAATGCCAAACCTGAGCCTCTTAGTCTCATTGTTGTAGTTGTGCTCACCTTCACACCCACTTCCTAATTCACAATCTCTGTCAGTGCACTGATATGTCTTAAAGGTATAGTGTGATCTAAAATCAGCAAACAGCATGTCAGCCAATGAACTAGTTTGCTCCTCCAAGGGGATTGGGATTCTGGCCTGAGTTTTGGGAGGAGATTTGGCAGGTGATTTGGCTGAAGATTTGGATGGTTTATCAACCTCATCCCTACAAGTCTTCTGCTTTCTATACATTTCATAGTTGTGGGTGTGATGAGAGTGTGATTCTTCTGAACCAGGGGACTCACTCATGATCACAGGCAGCCTGAACCACAAACATTAACACAAACACTTAAATCCAAACTTAAATAGCCACACTTGAGAGGAAACACTCCATACACATATGAGTTTGGTGCATGAAACATTAAAAACCAGGCAGCCATTCACATTCTTTGGAGAAAGACATTCTCATGAACATTCTTAATGAAAATCAATCACTTTGACAGGTACATACATGGATCCTTTATTTCTGTTTCATCCATAAAACATTCAAACAAGAGGAATCATGATATAAACCTGTCAATAGATATAGTGAACCCCTAGGTCATCTCATGACAGAAACCGTTAATCAAATGAACATTGAACCCCTAAATTACATGAACAATGAAACTCTAAATCAAATGAATAGTGTAACCCTAAATCAAATCAACACCGAAACCCTACATCAAATAAACAGTTAAGCCCTAGAACAAGATCATAGCAATTCATGAATCCAACAATTATTTATGAAAAACCCACATATTCCCAATCATTTATCATTCATCAAGAAGCATACATAATCAACACAATATCGACAAACCAAAACCAAAATCACTTTGACAAAATCAATTTCCATGCCAAAATTTGTTTTAATCATAATATTCAACAAAAAAATGTAATTTTTTCGCAAAATAATTGTAGAAACATACACAGAGGGAGGCAAAGAACAAGAACGGTACCTAGCACCTTTAAAATCCAAGGATTCGCAAAATTAGTTGAGGGCTTTGATCCGTTTGAACCAGAAGAGCACCGATCCACAATTTTTTCCACGATTTTTAGCCCCAAAAAATGAGAAATCGAAGAGAGAGAACGAAAAAAACTAGGGTTCTTCAGTGGAAGAGTGTAGAAAATTGAGTGAAGTGTAGATCCAGAAATGAAGAGAGAGAAAGTAAACGTTGTAAAAGTAAGTCAGAGTAACAAATTTCAATGGAGAGTTGGAGACCAAGAATTAAATGAGCGCACAAATACAGGTGCAATATAAGGGCAATCTGGGAAGCATAGATAATAAAGACAAAAAAAATGAGGGCATATTTGTCAAATGATATTGTTGGGTGGCACCTGAAAATGTGAAATGTGACTAACATTTTGGGTCACCTAAAATGGCATAAGTGACAATCAAATGGGGACGGAGGGAGTATTTCTTATGTTCTAAATTTTTGTTCTTTTTGTTAATCTTGTATGTGTTTCAGCGCACGATGTTTTTTGAATTTAGCTCTTGCGTTCTTTAAATTTAAATTTGATGTTCTTTGAAGTATTGATCAATACATAATTTATGTTTTAACATATGCTATTCTTAAATTAGTTTTATCGGCATTTTTTAATTATTATGATATTATTTTTGAATATTATTTATTAACTCTATGTTTTTAAAAAAAATATTAATTATCATTTAATAACTATGTTTTGAGACCTCCTCTATTAATGATCGATTTTCAAACTAAAAGAACATCCGTAATATTAATAAAGAGAGCATGATTAATGAACATTATTTATATTTACCCACCATGATCTAATGACAAAATTAAAAGAACATTTCACAATAAGTAATAAAAATTATGTCACAAATAAAAGTACATTAAACTTACAATCAAAGAACATGGACATTTTGCCATTCTTCGAGCCTCCTTATCAAAGCGTCAATTGGTCTCCTTCTTACATGGCCAAATCATCTTAAGCGATTCTCCCTCATCTTGTACTCAACTGATGTAACCCCTACTTTCTTCCTTATTAACTCATTCCTTAACCGATCCTTTCTTCTATGACCATACATCCATCGCAACATACGCATCTCTGCCACATTCATCTTATGCACGTGGCAATGCTTTACAACCCAACATTCTGTACCATATAACAAAGCAGGCCTTATTGTCATTCGGTAGAATTTCCCCTCTATGGGGTACGTATTACGCTTGGATCACATATTAAACCCATCCACTACTAGAAAACAGGCTCATTTATGACGGCAAAATTTCCGTTGGAAACACCCTGTTTTCCGTTGGAACCGGCTGTCGGAAGATATTTGTACGAAAAACGACCTTTTTCCGACAGAAATCATGCATCGAAAGAGATATACGGGCCCGGAAAAGTCCGTCGGAAATTACCGACAGAATTTCCGTTGGAAAAAGCTTTAAAAAAAATAAAAAAAAAAAAAAAAAAAAAAAGCCCCACACCACCCCTACCAGCCCATCTAACCCGTACCACCACCCCATCAAACGCCCAACGCCACCCACAACCCGACCACCAAAACCAAACCCGTAAACACACTAACCCCTACCAGCCCACCTAACCCGTAAACACACTAAACCACCTCAACACCCACCAAAACCCGTAAACCACCACCATACACCACCACCAGCCGTCACCACACACCACCAGCCCACACCACCAGCATCCACATCACACTAGCAGCCCAAACCCTCACCAGACCCACCCTAACCGAAAAAAAAACAAAAAATAACATCCAAAAAATTCAAACAATACAACCTAGATCTACCAACCACCTCGCCACCCCCAACCTAAAATTCGAACTTCAAAAGCTCACCCACCAACACTAGCCTCCACCACTATAAATTTCAACCAACAATTAAACAATAAACCTCTGGATCCGAAAAAACAACAACAAAATAAAATCAAAATTTAAATAAAAAGAGATACATTCCTTAATTCAACCACACAAAACCTTGAAATCGGGTTTACGAGGCCAAATTCAACAATGAAAATTCTAAATCTAGAGTTTTCACGGTCAAATTTGACCTGAAAACCTTCGTTTTGAACATGGGAAGAGAGAGAAAGGGAGAAAAAAGACCATTTTGCCTAAATCTGAAAACCCAAACTGGTTGTTGTGCGGTTTTGTTGTTGGTGGTTGTTGTTGATGTCAGTGTTGGTTCAATTTCAGCGGTCAGTTTCGCCGGTAGTGGTTAGAAGATGAAAGTGAAGAAGAAAAAGAGAAGAAGAAGAAGAGAGAAAGAAAGAGAAGATGAAAAAGAACGAGAAACAAAGAGAAGAGGAGAGAGAAGGAGAATGGATGAGAGAGAAAGGGGAAGGAGAAAGAGAAGGGGCGGAATGGAAGGAGGGGAGGTGTAGTGTGTTTTAGGGTTTTGTTTAAAAAAAAATTTTCTTTTAAATATTCTGACGGAAATTCCGTCGGAAATTGAAATTCTCGACGAAAAATTCCGTCATAAATTGAAATTCCCGACGGAAAATTCCGTCATAAAGTACATATTTTCCGACGGAATAATTTTCCGTCGGAAATTTTTGACGGATTTCCGACGGAAATTTTGAATTCGTCGGAAACATCCGACGGAATTTAAATCCGTCGGAAATTTCCGTTTTTCCGACGGATGTACGTGTCCGTCGGAAATCGACCTAATCCTAGTAGTGGTCGCACTCTTCCACTTTAACCAACCCGTTTTTGTCCTATGACCTACATCTCCATCCAATTCTCGCCTCCCATACGGCTTTCTTTAATTATTTTATAGCTTATTTATACTTCTCATAATTTTCATCACTTCTGCATTTCCCTTACATCTTATAGAAATTTCGTTTGATCTTTATTTCCTGTTGCACTTGTTCATTCCACTAAGATGTATCCTTAATTACTCGCTGGCATGCTTCCCTTAGATTCTCCTACGATTTCTTCCGCCACTTTCTTTATGCCTATGCTCCATTTTACTCCACATTGCATCTACATCCAAATAAGTGATGGTACCCACCAAATTCCTACCTCCTCCATCTTTCTTTCAAATTTTTGTTGGTATATTATAGTTAAATATAAAAAAAATATAATATTAATAAAACAACCTGATAATATTATCTGATGAATATCATTTAAATTTAACTAGCCTGATCCAATGACAAAGTTTTGAATGAAATCTTGAATTATTTTTTGGAAAAAATTATTTTGAGAAACTGGGTTTTTCAAAAAAAATTTACTATAAAATGCGGGTATAATATTTACTTATTTAAAATAGAACTCAGAAATTATCACGTTTGTTACATTTTAACAATAGTTCTTTTTACTTTAGCTATATGTTATTTACAATTCTATAATAAGTTCTTTAACAATATGTTTTTCTTTTTACTTTAGCTATATTTCTTTACATTTCTGTAATATGTTCTTTTCATTAATTTTTGGAACAGATGTATCATATGCATGCCTTCACGAACCACGGATTAAATATTTACTTATTTGTTCTCATTAAGGTTAACTATCTTTTTAGTCAAAAACTTTTAAAAATAGTATGTATACGGACAGTTATAACTCTAAAAGTATTTGCTTACATAATTTCCCTCATTATATTGCCAACAATTAAAAGAGCTCCTCAAACATGACAAGTTATGACGCGCACATCGCTACCATTTGTCTAGATAAAATTACTCTTAATAGTCTCAAATGAGACACGGTACGCGGTCTCTCCAAATCTCCAATCTCCTTCAAGTGATGTGCTAATATCTCAATTAACTATAGTCATGAGTCTTTTTTATTTTAATTTGTATAACCTTCTTCTAGTCAAAGTCATATATATACCTTATTTAAACAACACAACTTCTTACATCCATTATTAATAAGTTAGATTCACCTCATTACATACTCACATCAAATTCCCTCTTCTCCTATGATACCTCCCAAACTCTTGGCTCTTTGAAAAGCCAACTTTCAACCCTCAAAAAAAAAAAAAAAAAAAAAAGAAAAAAAAATCCTTACAAAGTCATGGTAGACAACACAACCATAGTCCCAATAGCTTACATTAACAACTCAACCTCGGTACCACCATGGCTAAACAAAGGCGACAACGCATGGCAAATGATCGCGGCCACCCTAGTCGGTCTCCAAAGTGTACCGGGCCTAGTAATCCTCTACGGAAGCATAGTAAAAAAGAAATGGGCAGTCAACTCGGCCTTCATGGCACTCTACGCCTTTGCAGCCGTAATAATATGTTGGGTAACATGGGCATACAAGATGTCCTTTGGTAAACAACTTCTTCCATTTTGGGGTAAGGCCGGTCCAGCTCTAGGGCAGGACTTCCTCCTAAGCCAATCCGAAATCCCGGAATCAGTCCATCGGAATCACCTGCTTCTCAAGCAAATGTATCCGATGGCGGCCATGGTGTGGTACCAAGGGATGTTTGCAGCTATCACTATGATACTGCTAGCAGGGTCATTATTGGGTCGGATGAATATAAGGGCGTGGATGATGTTTGTGCCGCTTTGGTTGACGTTTTCGTATACGGTGGGTGCGTTTAGCTTGTGGGGTGGTGGCGTCTTGTTTCGTTGGGGTGTGTTGGATTACTCTGGTGGTTATGTTATTCATGTTTCTTCTGGTATTGCTGGCTTGACTGCTGCTTATTGGGTAACCATTTTCTCTCCTTCCCTCAATTTGATTGTTTTTAATCATTATTTTTTTGGTACTTTATGTCATCTTACATGACTTTGACAACATTCATCTTTGTTCTGAGTTTTAGGCGATAAGTTGTTGTTTGATCATTTTTAATGTGGTAGGTGTAAGACCTTAATGAAATAATGAGGTATTATTTCTAAAATGAAATTGCAAGAAGGTTTTTATACGAAGGATCTTTTTTTTTTCCCTTGGTGGAAAATAATTACTATTACAAACTTTAGAAGAAATAAAAACAGAGTAACATATTATAGAAGCTTCACAAAACGATATTCGATTCATTTTGTTTGCTATACTTGGTGTCTTGGTCATATTTCTATACCACACCTTAATACCTTATCTCTTGTCCAGGATTTTTTTATTTTTATTTATTTATTTATTTTTTATGAAAGAATCTTGAGTTGAGAATCTTAGGTGGCTAAAATGAATGAAAATTAAAATACACTACTATAACTAATTTGGTCAATTAATTACTAGTAAGACTTAGTAGATTCCAAAAATCAAAAAAAAAAAATTATACTTTGTGTATATATCAAAACCTGGACTTATTATATTATAAATTTGAATATAAATGTAAAGATTTTTTATATTAAAAGAACATATTAACAAAGACAGAAGGGTTAATTAATGAGCTAGCAATATTATTCCTTTCGTTGTCAATGATTGTTTTATTTATATTTTCTTTCTAAATTATATTTGATTTAGATTGTAAAATCATTGAACATTTGATTTTATAAATTTGATTGTAAATTGTTTATATTAGTCAATACAAGTCTAGAGCTGGAACATGTACATCATTGACTTGTAGTTAGTAATTAAAGTAAGGAGGCTTTAAGTATCTTGCCTTTCTGTTGGTTTATTTTTTGTTAGTACTCTATTAATTAGACTAGGCATGTCCATCACCTAACTACAAACTATCGTTCCTTTATTATTCCTTATGTAGGATAAACATTGGACAATAGATTCGCAAAATGTTTATGCAAATAAATTTTAGAACATAATTTAGTATAATTAATGGAAATGCATAGTTAATACTCCGTACGAGTCATTGTCCATTCTTTTAACGGTTATTTCACCAAATGTCACTGAGTAATTGCGAAATTCACCAAATGCCATTCGACTTTTCAAAATCCACCAAATGTCATTTCCGTTAGTTGACCGTCAATGTCCGTTAGTTGACTGTTAGTTGACCCCACCCACTTGCCACGTATCACCTTCTTATTGGTCCGTTTTTTAAAAAAAATATATTTTTTAAAAAAATTAAAAAAATAACAAAAATAAAAATTAAAAACTTTTAAAAATAGTAAAAAAAAAATTAAAAAAAATAAAAATTACAAAAAAAAATTTAAAAAAAAAAAATTAAGAGGTGGCAGCCACCACCTCCTCCCTAACTGCCCACCCCAAAACCCTAGCCACCACCACCTCCTCCCTGATTGCCCACCCTAAAACCCTAGCCGCCACCACCCCCTGCCACCGGGGCTAGCACCGGAAGGCGCGTCGGCCGCCGGCGACCCCTCCCCTTCCCCTCCCCTATCCCGTCGTGACCCCCAAACCCGCGAAATCCCCCAATCCTTTCGATTTCCGGCCACCCCCACGAAACCCCGACCAAACCACCCACGCAACCCTCTTCTTTGAAAGCCGAAACCCCGACTAACAGAAGCCTCACCATCGAAAATCTCACTGTCGCCGGATTTGAGGTAGGTTTGGGTTGGTTTCAGGGATAAGAAACGGTGGCAGGGGAAGGTGTTTAGGGGATGGTGAGCTGGGCTGCTTCTTGTGCGATGGTAGTAGGGTGGGTGGGTCACGACGGGGAATGGGAGGGGGGTTGGCGGTCGCCGCTGGCACGCCTGCCGGTGAGGGACAGATCGCCGACGACAAGGGATTGGGGTTCGGTGACAGGGAGGGGTGGTGGCTGGGCTTCTGGCTGCCGATTTTATTTTTTTAATTTTTAAAATTTTTTTAATTATTTTTGGTTGTTTTTAATTTTTTTTATTTAAAAAACGGACCAATTAGAAGGTGACACGTGGCAAGTGGTGGGGTCCACTAACGGTCAACTAACGGATGTCAGTCATTAATGGCACTCGGTGAATTTTGTTAAAACTCAATGGCATTTGGTGAATTTTGAAAAGTCCGATGGCATTTGGTGAATTTCGCAATTGCTCAATGGCATTTGGTGAAATAGCCGTTCTTTAATTTTAATTTAAAGAAAGTTGTCATCGTACTAGTAGATTCAAAAAACCTAATAAGGTGTTAATGCACATATATACAAGGAACACCCTACATGGGACATGGCTACATCAGTTTTAGTTTGCGAGGCGAGTTGCACAACAAATGATACAAATAAGGTTCAAGATTTGAAGATCGGCACACTTGTTAATGTGTAACTTTAACCAATAATATCTGTAATTATTAATACATATATATTATTAAAAAACATATATTATAAAAAATTGATATATAAAAAGTATATATTGAGACGATTCTATCAAGTACCAATATGACTATGTTTTATGTTATATACTTACTCTGATTCATATTATATGCAAGTTTGGTGTATTATTTGTGAGATATAAAAATTTTAAAATTGCATACAATACGAACTAAAGGTAGTATAACACAAATAGAAATTAATAAAGTACATGTAAATAGTGTAAAAGTAAGTGACGAAATTATTAAGAAACGGAGAGAATACATACGTATATACTCCATATAAAAGCAACTTAGCGTAAAACTTGGTCCCCTAGCAACGGTACGGATCTTGTTTTTTAAGTATTAGACAATAGACATCTGTTTAAACTAGAGTCTTATTTTGTTTGTACAATGATAGTTATGGCCGCCTTGATTGACTAAATTAATATAATTGGTAAAACATTAGTTGTACAAAGAAACTATTACCATTGCATCCTAAACTATGGCATGACCCCTTCTGCCCTTCATGACAATTTCCTATCAATTCAAATATTTCTATTACTCAGCTTTCTTTTTCTTTTTTTTTTTTTTGTACAAAAAAAGGAAAACTATAAAGATTAATAGTTTTTAATGAGTAATGCAAGTTGTTTGTTGCATTATCTATTCTCTTTCTTCAATTAAAGATTTAGAAATAGTACTTAGCTTTTAATATTCTAGAAGACGTGGAAGAGATAATTAGAATGAGAAGATTCAATACATAAGATTTGGACAGAGAATTTTGTTTATTTTGAAAAAAACAAATATATATCTTTAAAAAAACAAATGAAAAGACCAAGTCTATTATGCTTGATAAAATTAGTTAATAATTTTGATGATCTGCGTCAGGAAAAATCTTGCGTGGACATGGTCCACAATAATATTATTGTGGACTTAATGCTTATACGCACACAACAGACATTATATTTAATATAGTGATTCTAATTTTTACATAGTAACCTTATTTTTGATATAGTAACCTTTATTAAATCTTGTGTGACCATTAATATTATTGTGAACCTGAAGTACGATGTTACGTTGAACATAGTGACCTTAATTTAAACATTTTGACCTTATTATTCAGATTGACCAATTTATAAAAAATTTCATAAAAAAAAATAAAATAAAAAAAAATTACCTCTCATAGCCTTTATAATATCAAATGACTTTAATTTCTACTTAATAACCTCTATTTCAATATAGTGAATTTTTTTTATTAATAAAGCAACTATAATGTCTCTAATATTAATGGTCCACAATAAATTAATGTGAACAAGGTTGGTTTAAGAGTTTAGCTCTGAGTCATCATTTGATAACCACAAATATTTCAAGTATTACACTTTTAGAATTTTGTCTCCATCAAAACTATATACTGAAATGATAAAAGTAGTGTTTGATAATTAGTTGGGTGTTTTAAGGTATTGGTTTCCAAATATAGAGTTAGAGTTTTATGAAATTAAAGTTAGAAATACTTGTTATAGGTAGCTTTTGGACTTTAAATTAAAATGTAATTTCTAGCTAATGTATTGTCAAACACTATTAATTAGAGGCTTAGAGCTATTAATATTTTAACTTTATTGTAACATGAAAAAACATACACTAAAAGCTTCATCAAAAGATATACTCTTGAACACGCCCCGCTGTTTTAATTTTACCCATAAGAGGTTGATTTTGTTTCGTGTTGTACATGTACTATAAGGCCTTGTTTAATTGATGTAGGAAGTAAATTTCCATGAAAAATTCTAATTCATGATAAATTACTTCCTTTATTAAAATTCCTAGGAATTGCATAAATATATTTGGTTGTCATGTGGGAATTTGTAAATCCTAGAAATTGTAAATGACCAAGGGAGGAGTGGGTAAGTAACTTCCCATGTTTTGTTGTAAGTGAAAATTCTCATGAATTGTGACTTCCCTCATTTTTTGCTTTTTAATGTCAACCAAACAACATACCTAAAAGGAAGTTTATGGAAATTTTGAGTGCCCATGAAAACTAAAGGCAACAAACAACACCTAAGTAAGTTTGCTTGGTGGTTGTTAACTGTTGTAATAGATGTTACTGTAAGGGTAAATGTTAGCTAATTGCCAACAAACTAACCATACAAAAACAAAACAAAAGTAAATAAAAGAAGTATGAAGTATCATACGAAGTATTATATCTATTATTTCAAATTAAATTTCTCAAAATCAATCATCAAATGTCAAAATTACGCGAATTCTCTCTATTTTTCACTTTATCCAGAAGTAAAGATGTCACTTTTTTCCATCACTCTCTTTTTTCATAATCGTGACAAATGACAATATTGCATTTATTATAACAACTTGGGAGTATGCGTGCATAAGTACATGTACTTTCATCCTTATCACATTCTTACAAATTATATGGTAGGCTGGTAGCCCATTAAAATTATTTGGTGGCATAGATTGACAAATATTTTGAATCAATCAATAGGATATAATGACTCAAAAAAAAAAACAAAAAAAAAAAAATGATTGCATTGGCTTGATGACTCTTATCGGAATAAAAATCTATAATTTCGATGACGCGCTACAATTATCCTATTCTTTACATCTCTAAGAATTTAAATGGAGTAGAAGTTTGATAGTAAGACATTCACACCCCAAGCATTTTGGCACCTTATTTCGTAAGACGAGCATGACTTATAAGCATTAACACTAGACCAACATTAATACATCTACCATAACATCATGATCTAAGTTAAAAATAGAGTTCATTTTTGGAGCTTATATAGTTATATTATACGGAGAGAATAAAGTGTTCATGTTTGAATTATGACAAGTTGACAAATGACCAATTTGTTCTTGGCCTACCACAATTGATTGATGTTGATATAATATATGGTTCGTATTACATACAAATACTTTGTATATATGTCTATAGAGAAGCCAATATAGTTTAAGACTTTAAGCCATGTTTCTACCCTAATTGGCTTAACCTACAATATTTCTCAAGACAAAACGAATTTGTACTTGATAATATAACTAGAAGCAAAATATCAAATCCAATTTTTAATATTATACTACCATACATATTTTGAATAATTTGATACTAAAGAGGTCGATTTTGACTTATGATGAACGAACTTGAATTAATATAATCAATATTTGATTATCCTTATCCATCCGTTCTTTTTTTATCTTCTTACTTTTCATTTTGCTTTTTTTTTTTAATCTTTCCACTTTTATTTTATTCCTTTATTTGTAAAGAAAAACTTCACTTTTCTCACTTCTAATCCCACCACATGATCCACATAAATTATCTACCTAGAAAGTAAAAACAGGAATCTACTTTCTACTTATGACACCATTTTATATGAGCATTGTTAAAAGATAAAAAAAATAATTAAAAAAAAATGAAAGAAGTATATCATATTAAAAAAAATAATAATAATAATAAAAAATAAATAAATAAATAAAAACTAAATATGAACCTGTGATCCGATTGAAATTGGACCTAACTCGGCTTCATGAATACGAATGAATTAATCCGAACGGAATACAATCAATTTTGTCAACCTTAATTACCATGTTAATTATGTAGCTTGATGTCTTGTGTAGTTGTGTGTGATCTAAGTGAGAAGATAATGCATGCGTCATCTTAATGGACAAAATATACGTAAGATCGAGTGCAATTGGAAAATTTGTATGTAGGTGGGTCCAAGATTGAAGAAAGATAGAGAAAGGTTTCCTCCAAACAACATATTATTGATGTTGGCAGGTGCAGGACTACTATGGTTGGGATGGTCAGGTTTTAATGGTGGAGGCACATTTAGTGCTAATATTGAATCTTCCTTGGCTATCATTAACACCAATGTTTGTGCTGCCACAAGCTTGCTCATGTGGACGTTACTCGATGTCATCTATTTCAAAAAACCTTCCGTTATCGGAGCTGTTCAAGGCATGATGACCGGCCTCGTCTGCATTACTCCTGGTGCTGGTAATTAGTTACTCACTGTGTCTCACATTATTTTAGATGCAGGAAGAAGATGAGAGATGATGATGATGATAGGAAGAAGATGAAGATCGAAGAAGATGGAGGAGAGAGATGGTGGGGAGATGAAGATGGAGGAGAGAGAATTGATCTGATTTTTTTGGGGAAAAAAGTTAGATAATTAAGTTAGATTAGGGTTATAATAAATTGTAATTATGTGTAGTATTATGTGTTAATAATTTTTAAATGAGGGTAGTTTAGCCATTTTACCATAAAAAAGTTACTGAAAAAGGAAAAAAATCAGTTTGTTGCAAATAATAGATAGCACCTATTTATAGTATATGTTGCAACTAACCATTAATGGAGGAAATATATATATATATATATATATATATATATATATATATATATATATATATATATATATATATATATATATATATATATATATATATATATATATATATATATATATATATTTATTTTTATTTTTATTTTTTTTTTTCAAATCTAATTGTTGTAGAATGTGGTAGCTATTAATAAAATGTACTCGCAGTAACTAGATTATTAGTGGTCTAGTTCTAGATTTACTTAAAGGTTCGTTAGCTGTAAGAAATTAAAGTAGACAAGAATTTTTTAGAATTGAGCATGCATGCTTGTGAAAGTCAAGCTATATATACATTCACTAGATTAAAGCCACTAGGTCTAGCTCATAAATCTAGTGCTTCAATTTTGTAGGTTCTTTTATTTTCACTGGTTGTGATGCTGTAATGTAAAGCTGTCAAACGGATCGTCTCATGTCATCAAATTTGTATTCATATTATTATTAGTTAATAAATTAGTCGAAACTCACGTGATTCACTTAATCATAATCAGTTGTATTTAAAACTTTCTAAACTAATGCAACACGTAAAATTAAATGATTAGATGTATCAACTCAATGACTCATTACCTTGTTTGAATTAAAGTTTTCAAAAAACTTTATTACTCCCTCGTTAATTTTTATTTGCTACTTTAGGGGGAATTGCGATTCACGAGGCAAAAGTGAACCGAGGCAAAAGTTAAGGGGCAAATATCAGTGGGATTAATTGAATGTGATTAAAGTGTTTGGAGAGAGAAAGGTTTGGCCCACCACTAAGAAAAGTAGTGGGAAAACTTGTACAACTTTTGGAGGGATTGTATTTCCCCCCAAAATTTCAAAGAAATTTTGTTCTAGGCTAAAATTTGGAGAAATTTCATTTCCCACCAAAATTTTCCAAAATTTTAAACTTCAAAACAGTGTACTGTTTAAAATCTGCAGACTTATATAAGCACTGCATTTCATATTACAGAGGCAATTAAATACAACGTCTCCATGGCAAACAACATTTAATGGTTTCTTATTCACCCAAAACATAAACATTGTTCCTCCAGAAGATAATCTACCTTACAAATTACACGACGTTAGCCCATTATATACCCAAAAAAATTCCTACAATTAAGTTAATACTACCCAACTAAGACCCAGAACCCTTCATAGGCAGCTACAGCTCCTTCTTCCTTCATCTTGTTCTCAAAAACACAGCAGCCACCGTTACATCAATCAGCTGAAGCTAAGGAAACAAACAAGGTCAGACAACCATGGCAAACTCATTTGAAGCGACGTACTTCGATGTGGATCAAATTTTGACAGAAGAACAAGAGGTAGAATTGTACTACGAATACGTAGAAAATATGCAAGATTTAGGCATGGATTACTACGACTCTGAAGATGATATGATGCAAGACACAGAAGGAGAAGACCAAGGCCAGCAAAACACTGAACACACACAAGCTGAGGGTGGTTTCCAGGGGACTCAACAGAGACAAAGAAAGCAGCTCACCATGAAACAAAGAAGAGAAATAATGGATTCAATGTTGGTCAACATGCATCAAGGCAACTTACCAAGAGGTCACTTAAAGCATTTGGCAGTTAATTACAATGTGCACAAATCAAGCATCACAAGAATTTTTGCAGACATAAAGAAACAAATGGCATAGGGCAATTTTATTGATGTCAGGAGCAAAAAATTTGACAGAGTAGGCAGAAAGCCAAAGGAATTTTCTGATGAATTCCTACAATCAGTGCCTTTACATTTAAGGCAGACATAAAGGAGCTATGCAGCAGCATTAAAGATCTCCCATGTAACACTTCACAATTTGAAAAAAAAAGGGGAAGGTTAAGAACACACACAAGTACCAACAAGCCAGCCCTGACATCAGACCATAAGGTAGCAAGAATGAAATGGATTTTGTCACACATAATTAAATCCGGTTACAAGTAATGGGGACCCAACATTTGTTGAAATGAACAATGTGATACACATGGATGAGAAATGGTTCTATATGAACCCTGACAAGAGGAGGTTTTACCTCCTACCTAGTGAGGAAGATCCTTATAGGCCTATACAGTCTACAAGATTCAAGCTCAAAGCAATGTTTATGGGCTTAATTGGGAAGCCATTGTATGACACAGATGGGGGACTACTTCATGATGGGAAATATGGAATATTCCCATTTACAGTCAAACAACTAGCCAAGAAGTCAAGTAAAAACAGAGTAGCAGGAACATGGGAAACAAAAGCAATACAAAATGTAAACAGAGAGGTCATCAGAGACATGTTGGTGGCCAATGTCATTCCAGCAATTATTTCAAAGTGGCCTGACAGTCAGCCAAAAATTATTGTAATCCAATGGGACAATGCAAGGCCCCACCAAGTTCCTACTGATGCAAAGTTTATGGCAGCAAAAACAGCTCATGGATTTAACATTCAATTTGTTTTCCAACCACCACAATCACTAGATTTGAATGTGCTTGACTTAGGGTTGTTTAGGTCAATTCAATCATTGCAATATCAGTCTTTTCCTAGCAACCTAGATGAGTTAGTTACAAAAGTGCAAGAATCTTATGAGGCATTCAATCCTCAAGTCAACAAGTACATTTGGTTGTCTTTGCAAAAGTGCACGATTGAGATCCTTAAGGTACAAGGTGGGAATAAGTACAAATTACCCCAAATGAACAAGAAAAAACTCGAAAACCTTGGAGAGTTGCCAAATAATGTACCAGTGCAGAAGGAACTTGTTTTGGAGGCAGTGAAGTACCTAGACACTATGTTTAGGCCAGTAAATGAGGGGATTGAACAAGGAACAGAAGAATTTGAGGTAGATGCAGACTGAGGGACTCATCACATCAAAGTAGAGACACATGGACTGCCACACATAACCACTTACAGTTGGTATGGTAATTTTATTTTATGTTCTGTTTTTTATTCTGGTATTAGGTGGTTAGGTGTATTTTGTTTATTACAGTGATGAATCATGTTAGGCAGTCTAATGTAAAGTACTTTTGTAACCACATGTTCAATGGAATAGAAATGGTTAAGAATCTGATGTTAAGTGGGCACTCAATCCATCAGAAGTTTTTTTTTCCATGTTTCAATAAAGCACCAACCACAAGGTTACCTCAACAATAACAGCATAAAGCACATCATTGGAGCAAAACACTTGTGGGTTGGGAAGGTCAATAGAGTCCTTTCCTCATTTGGATTTGGACAGAGTACACAACACAGACACTTAGGGGACTGAATACAAGTCATGCTACCACATAAAGGACTGTCATGTGTTCTCTACTTAATTGATCATTGAGAACACTTCAAGGTATGACCAAGGCACCTTTAAAAAATGTACAGACACATTAGCCTCATCATTCATCAATCAAACACCCATATGCCATTTTCCAACAATCCAACAACTGCTAAAATATACTCCAACACATGCATACATGCAACATAGTCCAGAACAGCAGACATAGCCAAGCATCCAACTGACCAGCCAATAACAAACAGGCTATCTAGCCTTTTCAAATTCCGGAACAGCAAACATGACAAAATAGCAGGCAATCAAAAACAGGCAACCATCCATGCTAAAATATACTCCAACACATGCATACATGCAACATAGTCTAGAACAGCAGACATAGCCAAGCATCTAACTGACCAACCAATAACAAACAGGCTATCTAGCCAACAAATTCCGGAACAGCAAACATGACAAAAGAGCAGGCAATCAAAAACAGATAACCATCCAACATTAATCCAGATCTACGCATACAAAACCAACTAAGCCAACATGCATCTAGATCTAGTCACAGAATCCCACAACACCAACCAAATAACAAAGCTAATCAACAGTATATCGAAAAAATCAAAAAATAGGGACTCTTTTTTAAAAAAAATTAACACATGAAGGGTTAGAAAGTGTTACGCAAGGGTCACTTGGAGGGTTGAACCCTAAGGTTCATCCGCCTTGCAGAGTGCTTCATCAGAAGAGGGCCAACCACTTCACCGTCGTCACCTTAGTCAGCCTCGTCATCAGAAGTCAGGATAATGACCTCCTTGTCAGGCAACCCCCGAATACGACTCAAAGCCACCAGGGTCGCCTTCCTTTTAGGCCGAATCTTGCGTGGTGGCCTTGGATTGTTAGATCTGGGCTTAGTTTTGGGCATAACACTCCCCTCAGCACTGTCGCACACTAGATCTACGGAAACACCAGTGCAGTCTAGCGCTTGTTTCCCCCGTGAATCTCCTTGACCCTCACCGGTCTTTCGACGCTCATCCTCGTCTACGCTTTCAAGAACTTGGCCCAAGGCCTTGTATGTGGTCGGAGTATAGTAATTCAGGGCCTCCTCAAACGCGTATAACTCACGAGGAAAAGAAGATCCTTCGGCGATACCTGTCATCAGGGTTTTTATCAAGTTTGCCTCGCCCTCGTCATTGGTGGCAATATAAGCGTCGCGAAGTGGAGATAGGTTAACCATGGTGGTGGGGGACTCTTTTTTTTGGAAGTTGAGAGGACGAAAACTCAGATTTCAGGAGGAACAATGGAGAAAATTACAGAGGCGAAAGAGAGTGAAAGGCAGATCTAGGGTTCTTAAGAAGACTCGAGAAGCCAGAAATAATCCCAATGTTTTTTCAATTAAATGTTGGTGGTTGGGAATGTGGCTGATGGGATTGGATTGGGGGAAATAAATGGAGAGAGTAATTAGATTAGGTTAATTTAGATGTTTTGTATATAATGTGGGATTAGGGTTAATAAGGGGTAGAATTAAAAAAATCACAAAATTTAAGTAAGGGTAAAATAGTAATTTTTAGGGTTTTTGTTTACCAAAAATGGAAATAAATTAGAAAGTTGCAAATAATTTTTAGCGGACTAAAATGGCAAAAGTTGCAAATAAAAATTAACGGAGGGAGTAGATAAATCTCTTATGCCCAATTTGTTAAATTGTTGTATAAATCTATGCTTGGCTAGCCAGCTAACCTCTTATTTTGTACTCCGTAGTATATATTCTAATACCCTCCCGTCCCTTATTTACATGCCTACTTTTCTTTTTGAGGGTTTCAAAATTACATGTCTATTTCTATTTTAAAAATACACTTTTTGACAATATTTCCTCTTTTTGATGAGTTGTCATTATTTTTTTATTATTATTTTGTACTTTTGACATCATTTTCTAACACTTTCTCTCTCCCTCTCTTCAATAATTACCAACTACCTTTTTTTTCTCTCTATCTCTCTCTAACCCCACATGCGTATTTGTACTTCCGAATCATGGCTTTTAAGTTCATTAATTTCTGTGTAAAATGAGAAGTAGGCATGTAAATAAGGGACGAAGGGAGTAGTAAATATTTGAAGATTCAACAAAACTATGCTATAATAGCTATTTTCTAGTATTGGATTTAAAATACTTTCTCCGTTCCAGTAATATTGCAACAACTGGACTTTCGCACTATTCATCATGCTTGTTTGACCACAAATTATGATTTATACGTAAGATAAAATATAGTCATGTGGGGTCTTGTTAGATTCGTCTCGTAAAATACTTTCACAATATCAACTTTTTATAATTTTTACTCTTATATAATTATAGATATTTAACATATAAAATGTGCTTTGGGATGCGTAATTTCATCCTTGTTACAATATTTGTGGAACAAAGGGTATTATTTATCATACAAAAAAAAAGCCATGTTAACTCGCTTATGTAAATGGGTGAAAAATCTCAAAACCGCTAACCACTTTTTTTTTTTTTGTCTCATGCAAGATTCAACTTAAATATGACCCGTCTGTACTTATGTGGATTTGGGACTAGAGGTGTTAATTCGGATAATCGAATGGAGTTTGGTTTTGATCTATTCAGGCTAGGTCTGTGTGGGTCGGGTATGTTCGGGTCAAAATTATTCTATTAATTCGGATCAGGTTAGGTCGAGTCAAATTCGGATCAGGTCAAATTCAGGTCATGGTCTATCGAGTCCCGATCGGATATGGGTCGGGTCAACTTCAGATCGGTTCATGTTCGGTTCAGATAAATTCAAAACGGGTTTTACCGGGTTAATTTCGGGTTGGATGATTTTAGGTCGGGTTGATTTCGGTTCGGTCAAGTTGTGTTTGATTAAGATAAGGTTGATTCAGTGTTTAGTCAATTCCTATTCAAATCCTTTCCGTGTTTGTCTAGATTTTGGTCGAGTTGACCAAATTCAATATTTAAATAAGGTCATTTTTAAACTAGAGTAATTATTGAATTTTTACCTTATTATAGGGTTTATATTAAGTCATTCATGCGTCATTTCTCATTTTGCATGGTTAATTATTACGAAATGCGAAGAATTCATTTTCTCATTCAATCAATTCTTGTGTAATATTTATCTTGGAGCCAAATTTAAATTGAAAAATTATTGGTAAATTATGATACCTACGTACATAAGTGAGACGATTAGTAATGAACTAGTAATAGACTGATAAATTGATAGATGACAGTCACATATGGTGATATACAAAAAATAATGTCCTCTTTTTAAGGTACTACTCTTCAATTGTTTAATCTCATGAGGCTACGAGTACTATTAGTTTGCTTTATTACTAATTCAATTTGTATAAGATATTTGTTAGAGTTTTAGACTTTCTAACTTATTAATAATTAGTAAATTTGTAAATATATAGTAGTATAAGAACTTGAAAAAAAAAATCAATAATAGGTTAGGTTTTAAATTATGGCTGGGTTAAAATCAGATCGGCTTAAAATCAAATCGGGTTAATATCAGATCGGATTAATCGGTTATTTGTCGGGTCATTTTCGGATCGAGTTGAATTCAAGTCGGGTCAAATCGGTTAGGTTTGAGTTCAAGTCGGGTCATATCGGGTACGAATTGAGTTCAAGTTGAGTCAAATCAGTGCCAGATTAAGTTCAGATCGGGTCAATTTCAAATTCAGATAAATTTCAAGTCGGTTACAGATCGGATTTGGGTTCTGAATTTCTTGAGTCAAATCGAATCGGTTATAATTCAAAACGGATGATTTTTTTCGAATCGGTTCGGTTTTGACAATGTCCAATAGAGGTTAGATATTCAATATAGACTAGTGTTATCAAGACATCTTTAATTTCCACCTATATCTTGACAACATTAATTTTCACCTATCTTCGAAAACATTGTACAATTCTTTTAATGCATACAATAATGTAGACATACATGATACAACATAGTTACAAGCTTCAATTACAACATAAATATAAGGTGCTTGCCCACCTACGTACGTCACTATAAAAAGCAAGAGCATTAGACCATTGAAAATAAGTTTTAACTCGAGAATTTTTTCCATAATGTGTTGGAGTATTTCCATGACGTCATGTCAGGATAATTTTTAAAGTTTTGTTATGCTAAATTATTGTATTCACATAAGTTGAAATTTGAATCGGATATTTTTCAGGTCGGGTGTGGTAACTCTAAAGTGGAAATACAATCGGAGTAATCTTGTACATTTACTAGGGCGGATAACGTGCACGATGCGCATGTCGCAGCTAACCATGTTCCGAAGTTCTTTCGGTTTGGAGTTGTTAGCAGCGTTAATTAAAGAAAATATATAAATATATATTTTTAAAGGTATAAATGTCCACACATTATTCTTAAGAGTTTAAAAATAAAAACAACAATTAAACTTAATTAGGGAAAATATATAAATAAACATTTTAGGGTCATAATCGTCTCAACACTATTCATAAAGTGTGGTCATACATTCATAAGAGCTTACGCATATTTTTGAAAGATAGGGATTAAAAATAGGCAAAAATACACATTTAAATGGAGATGCGGGGGATCGAACCCCGTGCCTCTCGCATGCAAAGCGAGCGCTCTACCATTTGAGCTACATCCCCATTTTGCTATTAGTTTCATTAAAATGAATTTATCGCAATTATCCCACTAATTGTTGTTTCCCTTACTCCTGCTCAAAAACAACGACACCACAGTCGAAGCAAAGACAACAATGGCGGAGGTGAGAGAATGGATAACCACCGACGAGACGGCGGAAACCTACTTATCTAGGGTTTCCACCTCTCGTCCTCCGCTTCTTCTTCCGCCGCTTCACCGCCTTCCTCTTCGTCCCGGCAATGTCGTCGAAATCGTCGGCCCTTCTCCCTCCGCCAAAACTCACATTCTTCTTCAGGTCCTCTTTCTCAATTTCCATCAATTTTCTCCAGAATTTCAAATGTGTAATTTAAATTTTTAATAGTTATATGATTTTTTTTTTTTTTTTAAATTTTAGGTTGCGATTGAATGTATTTTGCCGAAGGAGTGGAAAGGTGTGAGTTATGGAGGGCTTGAGAAATCGGTGATGTTTATTGATTTGGATTGTCGCTTTGATGTTTTGCGTCTTCTTCAGCTTCTAAAATTGAGGATTTCTAGTTTTCATCGTATGTTTTTCTTATTCAATTTTGATTGTTTTGGTGTTTTGAGTTGATTTCTGGAGTAAGATAGTGTGGGTTGATTTGTGTTCTTGCATTGTATGTCGCTGATTAAAAAAGGCAAAATTTTGTATGAAACGGACTAATAATATGATATACGAAGTTGTTTATTGTGAAGCCCCTGGTGATTTTTCTATTTTTTTAAGGGCATACTTGGATAGGGGGTAATGTATTTAAGGTTTAATAGCAGAAAAATCTAAGAGGATGATGGATAATGTTGTGATTGTGTTAAGAGGGAGGAATAGGGAAGTATTATGGTCATTTCGGGGGTAAGTTTTATCCATCATCTTCCTAGGATAATGTATAATTCCCCATTTCATCGTTTCTCCTTGTGGTATTGCTTCATCATCCCTTCCACTGCCACCTGAACTTATCTTCGTTCTCTTTAACTTATGTTCGGTTTCCTCAATCCAAGCATGTCCTAAGGAGTGACTTCTTACTATGTTAGACACACTTAAGTGTCACTATCAGTTTTCAATTGCATCCATGGACATTGGTTTAAGCGATTATGAGGGAAGATAGGTTAAAGAGCACAAAGATTTGGGTAATAGCCTAAGGCTTGGAATTTACGAGTCTTACATATTTTGTTTCTAATTACTGTACAAGTGACACTTTAGAGATTGCCTTATTCTTTCTTTGAAGTAGAGGGAGTGTTTAGAATTGATAACTTCGATTTTGAGGCATTAGATGCTTAACTATTGGGTTGACCGTGCCATTATAAGTTTTGCTGATTGTTTAGAGGAATCTTTTTCTGCTCTTTTGTTAATGCGTTGTTGGGGAAGGTCTGGAAGGGGAAGGCATTTAAAGTTGTAAACTGCTTATTGAATTTTATACATTACTATGAAATGTGGCAGCTAAATTTGGAGGCTTCCAACCCCGACTTTTCTTTCCTTAAACGACGTCTTATGGAATGATAAAGATAATATGAGGCCACTCTTTACTGCTTTTGTGCTTACACATTATGACTATCAAATGTTTAGCAATGAGCCATGATGACTGGACCATTTTTTTTTTCTGAGATCGACTAATGGAGGTCTGGACTTTCATTGATTTTAAGTTGGGTGCTGGATAAAGTTTTTGAAAATTTGGCACTCTTTTATAATATTGCCTGACCACCAGAATCTTCTGAATCTAAACTTATCGCTTTAAGGTGACCTCAGTGTATGACATTGTAAACTATGTTAGGCCACTGAGTTGCTGTAATTTTTGTTTAACTTTGTTGAGAATTATGTACAGAAGTGAAAAACGAGCTACACTCTGCCAGAGATTGGACCTGTGATGAGGAACTAATTCACAACTGTTTGGAGCGCTTCCTATATGTTCGTTGTTATGATAGTTTAGAGTTTCTTGCTACGCTGAAGGTGATGAATGTCAATCTCTTCGTGTCAGTAGCTAGATCTGCTTTAGAATGGCCATTTTGGCTTGACGAATATGAAGATTAGCTAATAGTCTTTTGTTCTCAATTACCTGACTAATATGCTAAAACTGAAAATTTATATATGTGCCATTTATAACAGCTGCATCTGCCATTATTATCTTTTATCTGTTACTGAATTTATATCAATCTTGGAAGTTTGGAATCATCATCTGATCAACTTCTCCATATGTTATTTCATTTTAGTTTGTCATTATAGATAATTGTTAGTTCATATTAATTGGCATGGCCTTATCATCTGATATAGACATTGAGTTTAGTTCTTTTTGTTGCCTTGTAGACATTAAATTATCAACTTCAGACCAAAAGTAAGAAGCTTGCTTCAAGAGTCTGCTTCTTGATGATTGACAGGTTTGCCTAAGATTATAACTGAACTAGTAGTCCTGCTTCTTTTGATTTGATAGTAATTTCCTATGTTTGCATTTCTTTTTGTTAATGTCAGTACAATTATTGTCAATATCACTTATATAGCTATATCACTATGTAGTTTTAATAGGTTGGTTATATTTATCTCTTGTAATTTTAAAGTTGGATCTTTCTACTTAAGCTGAAAGGATAAAAGAAACAAAGGAAAATCAATAGACGGCATATCTTTTAAATTAGGATGTCTAAAGGAATTAGTACTCTTTGGCCATAGCTAATTAGTGGGAGGTGTTGATTTATTTTGCTGAATTAGTGATTAGCAGATAGTGAGCTGAACTTGCAACTCTTTTATGGTTATTATTTAGTCCTCATTAGCAAAAACTCAAGGCAATAATTCGAGATCTCACACTAAGCCTGTAGGTTTCCTGGTCTTTTGAATTGGAAGAGTAGTATCACAATGAGATTTCTTTAATTAAATGCTCAGGCTCTTTTTTCTGTCAGTATAGGAGCTTACTATTGGGTTGACCGTGCTTCAACATCCATGCCTCTTGCGTCAAAAAATAGGTACCTTCTTTCCCAAGTTATAAGTGTTTTTTTGTGTTTTTGTTCATTTTCTCTTTTGATGTCCTGTGCTGAGTCATATCTGCTGATGTTGAACTTTCATGATTAGAATTTGAATGTTCCTTGTTTCTTTTTCTCTTCTCAAAACATTTTTTATTTCGTACATTTGAGAGACGGATAAAATTTTGTAGCTGAGATCTACCTGATAAGTTTTTGCTGCTATTCCTAAGGACCTTTTGTTATCTTAAGCTGTAAAGCTTTCTTCTCCCTCTACCTGCCCTTTTTGGGGATCAAAGTGTGAATTCTGCCTAATATTTTGCATTTTGCGCGGGAGCCTGGAGGTCTTAGAGTGGCTTTGTGGCTTCTAAATTATAGCAGAAGTAAAGTGATGCATTGTTGATCTTATTGTCATTGTTTTTTGAATTTAAGTGGATGACTGGAATTAGAGCGACTGAAGTTGGTGATTTTAGATTTATACGCATGACCACTTTCAAAGCGTTTTTTATTATAGTTATGCCACTTAGGTCTTTTTTGTCAGCATGTTGAGGTGAGTTGCCATCTCTCTATCTTTCATTTTTCCTGCTGCGAATGTGTCAGTCGTATTGCTCCTGTCAACTGTGATTCATAAGAAGTATTTAGAAACCATAACTACTTTGTCAAAGAATTTCAGGAAATTATTCTCTCTTCAAAGTGTGATAGAAGCTGTAGTCTGTGAGATACAAAATTGTCTGCGGGTGCAACCAATGCTTGTTTTGGCTACAAAAGCTACAATATTCGGTGATAAGCCTGTAACCAATGACATGAAAAGGTAATCTGTAGCTGTTAATGAAAGCCTTGTTGTTTAGAATTGGATAACTATTTCCACTCTAAGCAATTAAAAATTTCCCATGTAAGATTTTAAGCAAGACATGAAGTGTTATGGTCAGCTGAAGGAATCAAATTCATTAAACCTTCATCCATTAGCCCAAACTCATTAATGCACCGTAGTCTGTTGTCACTTGTCTTCTCCTGAAAGCATGTAGATGAGAATAATAATTATTATCTTCCTTTAGGTCCATAATTTATATTCTTATAGAACAGATAAACATAATTTACAAAAGGATTCAGTATTTTACAAGACGATGTACTACTATCCTTTGTTTCCTATTGGTTGCAAGTTTGCAACATACCATTTTGGCAAGCATTTTAAGAATGAGAGTAGAGAGGGTAAACATACAACTTAATCAAAATAACTTAAAACCTAAAAACCCAACCCTTCCCTCTTACTGGCTTTTAAGTTATTTAATCAAGTTGTTCGTTGACTTTTATGTAATCTGTTCTTTAAACTGCATTAGTGCATTCCCAAAGGTTTGTGTTACATGTATAAAAAAACAAAGGATCATGATGATGATAATAATGATAATTTAGAAGTTCCAATGAAACAACAGCAGACCAAACTTTAAATAAAGAGAGAAAATCACACCAGACTTGAATACCCCTTTTTTTTTTTTTTTGAGGTGAATGGAACGTTGTCACTAATAATACATTTTCACTGTCAAGGTAGTTGCCCTTGGGGAAGCAATCTTAGAGTACTATATATTATTTATACATGATTTCTTATTCAATTTTATTTACTGGACTTCCTGTTAGTAAATTTTAAAATCATTTTGGTATATAATGGATTAAAAGTCTGGTGACTGTATGCTATCTCAACATTGATAAGGACCTTAGCCTGGTTTTAGTTGCCATTTGAACAGGCCATTCAGAAAGTGGTCTTCACAAGATGCATCTGGTCAACACACTATAGAAAGCAGTGCTGAGAATATATTGCACCGTGAATATATGCCTTCGGCCTGGCAGGTAAATTATTTGTATAATGAATTTTGCAGATGTGATGATGCTTAAAGCTTCCTTCTTTTTTCCTTTCTTTTCCAATTATTATTATCATATATTCCATTTTGGGTAATAAGATATGTATTTGCTATGTACTATGAGCTTTGAATTTGTCCTTCATGATCACTTGATCAGCTTTACCAAAAGAGAGGAATTTGAGGATAGTTCCATTTGGTGGATTGGTTAACCCTAGTTGAACTCAAATTAGTATCAATGTGATCAGTTGCCATTTGGATTATCTTGAAGGGGCTTCACTAAATGGCTAATCTCAGAGTTACTGTTATTCTAGTTGGCACACTTATGGCCTGTTCAGTACAACAGTACATGACATTGTCCGTGTAGAGAGAAATGAGGTAAACTGTATAGTGTAAACTGTAAAGGATCGTTCCTCTAAGTTTGTGACCAATGATGATGATGTTAAACAGGTTATTATTGTTTGTACATTTGTTTACATCTGAAGGCCACCTCCCAGCAACTTTCTGGTTGCTTATTTATGCTTATATTGCTGTTTTTTCCATCTAAGATAGTCAAGTTATTGTTTTTTTTATTGGACAAATGGACAGGAGTACAGCAGACTCAGTAGTATGCAAAAATTGTATCTAATAAACTCCTTGTGTTTCCCCACCCCCTTGGACTGTCATATAATCATTATTAGACTCTTGTCACTGTATTTGGCTTTAAAATCATTATTCTTCCTCATGCTTAATTAACACTTTCTCTAATTGATCTTGCAGTCCTTTGTTACACAGAGGATATCGGTTCGACCATCAAGTTCAGAATACTGTGCCAGTAATTGTAATTTATGAGTACTCTTCTTTTCCTTTTTTTTCTTTTATATCATTATAAGTAGAATAATGCAGTACTATGCATAATCATGGTCTTTTGGGAGCAAAGTTGTGTCCCTGCCTGTCAAATGCAAGGCTGCAAGTATCATGAATTCTGTAGAAAGTTAGAAACTACTAGTGGCTGGGTCTCCTGAATGTTTTTCTTTTTTGTTGCTTTCTCTGCATACTTGCACCAAATTTGTAATTAATTTTTGGTGCAGATGACACTACTGATGAGCAAGTTTACTTAGCACAATGGTTGCTGCCACCACTAGGCTTCAAAGACAAGTTTGTGATTAAAGATGTAAGGAGAAAGATTTGATGTGCTTACCAAACTTGCTGAAGTTTCCATTTTGGGTCAATCTAATTACAAGAGTCAATTAACCCCTGCTATGTCATGCTTATCTATTGTCTACTAAGTCATTTGTGCTTGTCCACAAAGTGCAGCCATGTTTTTGCTAAAGTTTCTTCTTTGACCTTCTTTAACCAACAGCTAAATTAACATTTTAGCTATATATGTATCACTATATGTGATGCTGGACTTAATAGAATCTGATGTTGTATTGTTTACATCCAATATATTTCTAAAACAGTACTATTTTCTTATAAGAAAAGGACTAATCAAGTAATCGCTTTAAAGGAAAAAGGGAATTAAAGAGGGCACATCTATTTTTTTTTCCACATTTAATCTCTACTTCCCCGTGTTATACTTTTGTTATGTAAGGGTTGTGCAATCTGAAGTTTGATGCTTCTTGCATTTTAATGGGAAGCAAAAGATAAGGGGGATGTTAAAATAAAAATAAACTCATGTTTGTGCCTTGGTACCTTATGCTGATTTAGTAGTCTACGTGCAGGCTGGCATATCAGCTGTTCCTTAATATTGATGTACGAAGGCCAAAGCCATGGAAGTTAGTTACGGATCTCATGGTATGTTTTTTTATCTCGACCTTGAATGGACAAGGAATTTGCAAGATATACTTTTGATCAAATTCAATTAGTTCACTGAGCTCGTTTTAACTATTTTATCTTTGATAGTCTCGTGATTAATGGATTTAGAATTAAAAGTCAATCAGAAAGAACCTCTCTGTTATTGCATTGCAGATATAAATCCAGATTTATTCAAATTCTCTTCTCCCTAAATCTACCATGGACAGTACATAGCCTCTATAGAGGTTGTAGGCTTATGTTTAATGATAATGACTGTAGAATGTGGAGCTGTGGAAAATGTTCTTTCATTTAAAAACATATTTATAGAATAAAAAAGATATATTAGTAGTTTAACCAGTATTAGTAATAAATATGTTCAGTGCTTCACCGTCGTTCTCCCAAAAACCAAAAATGCTTTACCTAAGCTGCATCATCTTGTATTATTCATGCAACATCAAGCACTATTAATGGGTGGTTATTTTGTAACTTGTAACTACAGATCTTGGGGTATAAAATGCGCTTTGGACATTGCTAGTTTTGTGACTTTTGTTGATTTAGAGAAAGAAACTAGCCTTTGTATGAGGAGCCGAGTTTTCTGATATCGGGGCTGTTCTAACCTTTGTTTGCTAGAGCATGGGAATTGGACAAATTCAACACGTCAAGCAAAAGCAGGATTGTCAAAACTCATGGAAAAGATACAAAACATATGAATTGTAAAGTTACGATCTGTGATCCTGTTGTGTATTATTTTATGTAAATACAGACACTTTGACCAGATAATCCTGAAAGAGTTTTGTATTACCCAAGGGACCGGTAGCTTGCAAGTTATGTTCTTTCAATATTCTTCGAGGATCGGAAACGAAAAGTCTCATCTTACTGCTTGAAAATACTTGAGATTCTTAATTGATTCATTTAGATGTTAGCATTTTATAGTGGTCAAATAGGATCATTTTCGTCCCAAACCCTTCAAATTAATTTTTAGTAACGGGATTTAGAATTTAATCCTGTCTATTTAACCATAGCTTATCAACGTAGGCAGGAAAGATGATGGATCTTTTCATTTGGGGTAAGTATAAGGAGTAAACTTTCTATTTGCAGTGCCTTGTGTACCAAGAACAGAATATAAAGGGAATATGTTTTGAATTATAAACGTGTATTGTAGTACTTCTCCTAAAAGAGGTTGGCCAACAGAAGCAACTTTTCTTCTGTAAAATTATATAATTGCTTTCCTTCAGGTTTTGCTGCTTGTTTGATATAATACCTCCTTCAAAATCTAAAGCTGCAATATAACAATTGTGTGATACAAAGGAAGACGTTTTGTCAGAAGATATTAAGGAAGAATACAATGGAGAACAATGACCAGCAGGCAAAGCAGCAGCCGCAGCAGTCACAACAGCAGCAGCAGCAGGCATCGAAACAGCTTCCGTTGAATCAGTTGCAGCAGGATTCGGATCATGCTTTTGCTATCGCGTTGCAAGAACAGGTTTTCCTCTCTTTGCTCCTCTGAATTCTTCCCTCTCAAATTTAGCCATAATTTTACATGGTAGAGGTGGTCCGCTGTAAACAGTAGTCCATCGTAACCAGTTTTATAAAAAGCTTGGATGAAATAGGCCTATTGGGTTAGTCTTGCACTGCTCCAAAATAACCGGGTGCAACCAGTGTCGTTTGGGTCCGGGTCCCTGCCAATAGCCATATTGTACTTCAGGCATGGCATGTGCCGGAGTTGATTTTAGTAAGCTAGGCTCATGGATGAATAGGATCTTCCTGGTTTCAAGGACTGGAATCAACTCAAACTAGAGTAGTAGTTAATAGGGATTTTTATTCTTTTGTTTTAAGCATGTTTCCTCCGAAAGTTAATTTTTTCATAGTAACTTCTCTTACAAAGTTTGATTGTTTTTATGATTAGGAAAGTACATTTACATTTCTGGAGACTATTAGGAGTGACTCAGATGACGAAAGCGAGGACGAAGAAGAGGATGAGGAAACTGGAAGCTCATCATCTCATGACTTCGCTGGATTTGATACCCAAGAAATTTATGGTAATTTTTTCTGCACACAATTTTAATGTATCTTACAACTTGCAAGGCACAACCAAGACTATTTTTTGGCCCACGTACTCAAAAGATACAAGCAAATGGACGAAGAAATAACCTTAGTTGTACCGTATACAAAATACAACTGATTATACATAAAAAAAAAAAAATTGTCATTACTTCGTAGAAGGGAAGCCCAAATTAATTGTTTTGTCTTCTATTTTATATTTATAATATTTAAATTGGATTATGACTTTATGTTGTTTGCAGATGAATTAGAATTTCTCGAGGAGGATGAAGAAGGTAGCTACACCGACGAGGTTATTCCAATTGCTTTTATTATTGTATCAATAATTTCTTCTCTCTTTTCATATAAACCATTTCTGTCCAAAAAAAAAAAAAAAAAAAATCAAAATAATATGAAAATTTGTACACTTGGTAATACTTGTATAAGTAATATTGCATTGGCAACTCAGCATATATTGATATATAAAGATTTAACTTGATACGATTAATTTATTGTACACCTATCTATGCCTAAAATTAAATGATTGAATTTGAACAAAATCGAAATCGTATACTCCGATTTTTTGTTTGTTTTTAATATCTTGATTGTCAACCTCAAATGGGCAAACCTACTTTTCTTTTTTGTAGATTGAGGAAGATGAGATTGATCCAGACGAAATGTCTTATGAAGTAAGTCACATCTATATATTTGGTTTACATTTTACGATCCAAGCTCAAAATACTCTAGTATGATCATATATCTTATACGTACTATTTGATCTTAAAATATCTAAAGTATTTCAAATAAAAAAGGGAAATTCTACATTATAACCCTCTAGTATTGCGTTTTTTACGCTGTGCCCCATCTTTTTGAAAGTTACACATTGTAATCCTCAGATATAATTCGTAACCATACGATGACCTTGCCGTTATCTCGCCGTTAAACAAATTTCGTTATGTTGTTTTAATCACCGTTAGTGGAGCTCACTCTTTACTAATTAATATGTTTTTATTGATTTACGTGATTGAAAATGTATCTTAAAAGTTTTAGGGGCCATTTTGGCTCTTATGGGCCCAAATTGAGCTCAGACATTGCAAAAAAAAAAAAAAACAACGCAAATGTCTCATTTTGCGTATTAAAAAATGTCCAGTTTGCGTTTGAAACATTTCTTAATATGCAAAACGAGGCGTTTACGTTATTTTTTTTTTTATCAAATGTGAGCTCAATTTGGGCCCTAAAGGGCCGAAATGTCCCCCAAAACCTATGACGAAATATTTTCTACCATGCAAATTGACAAAAAAATATTAATTAGTAGAGAGTGGGCCACATTAACGGTGATTAAAACAACCTAAAGGAATTTGTTAATAACGGGATACCGACAAGGTCACCGTATGGTTACTAATTAAATCTGAGGGTTACAATGTGTAACTTTCAAAAAGATGGGGCACTGCGCAGAAAACACAAAACTAGAAGGTTATAATGTAGAATTTCCCAATAAAAAATAAAAAACTCATCAATTTTTCTTATTAGTCTTTTACGTATTTTTCATGCACTAAAGCATTAAAATAAAATTCATGAGATAAAATGACTAGCTAGCAATGAGGTTGAGATGTTAGTAAAGCTGTATTTTCATTATCAACTATTAATTTCAGGAATTATTGGCATTGGGAGAAGTTGTTGGAGAGGAGAGTCGTGGATTATCTGCTGAGGAAATTACTTCATCATTGTCATCATGTGTTCACAAATTTGTTGAATGCAAAACCACAATTGATAGGTGAGTCTTGTTCAATGTATCTCTCTCTTTTGTTTTTTTGCCTAAATAAATGTACTTTAATTTTAATTTATACGAATTATTTTCTTCAATGTTCTTTTTATTATGTTGCTACTAGATGGAAGCCTGTGCGATGCACGGTTTTTTCATCTAAGATTTTTAATTATTTGATTTATTGTATTTAATAATTTCAGACAAAATTACAAAAGTTTAATATTTATTTTTTCTTACTATAATTTATAATGAATTTGTTAAATATAAATAAATTGTAAATATGATATTTTTTCCTATAAAATCTTTAATGTGAAATGATAAATTTTTAATAATTTAAATTCTAAATCATTATTCATTGTTTTACCATATCTTTTATTTCATGCAATAGAATCACCAACCTCGTCCACAACTAACCTACTACTTCAATGATAAATTGAACCGTGTTGCGGTATAAAATCAAATCTATGCATTGAAATTTTTTCATCATTTCCAAAAATAACCAAAGTCATCCATATATTAAGTATACAACATCTAACTATGCCATTACATAAACAAATAATCGTTAAGTATCGTAAATAAATACAATGTAACTAACAATTACAAATATAAATTTAAACATAAGATTTTAAAAATTACCCGAACAATGATGACCTAAAACTAACACAAAATTACTAACACAAAATTCGCTTGATGGGGTTTTGTATTGATACGAAATTTTATTTGTGTCGTATGATGTGTTAGATCTGCATGTAAAAAAACATTTAGTAAATAAAACATAAACATATAATCGTTGAGTATCCCAAATTAATACAATGTAAGTAATAATTAGAAATACTAATTTAAACATAAGATTTAAAAAATTAAGCTAAAAATTACGCGGCCATTGATGACCAAAAATTAACACAAAATTCGTTTGATGGAGTTTTTTATTGATACAAAATTTTGTTTGTGTCGTATGATATTGTCAATTTATAATGGTAGGTATCACAAATTTTAATTTAATTATTGAAGAGCTCTTTCTGAAGACGAAGTCTTTTAGTTCTCAATCCTATATATGTTTATGAACCTCTCTTTCTCTTAGTAAGCTATTCACTAGTTGAACGATGTCCTATTCAACATTCCACGAGTAGGTCTTGAAAAGGCACCTATTGAGGTGGGGCCTATTCTTCACGCAAACCACCTTCATAGCGAATTTTAATTAACGAACAATTTGTATTTCTTATCATAAATACTATCAAAATTTATCATAGTTTTTAGTATATTTTTTTGGATTTCTTATACTCGTATTATTGAATTAATAAGTTTATCTTTTCCTATATTTTTACTTTATTTTTTTCATTAAAATTATTTAATTCGTGGATTATAATTTACGTGGCATTAAAATTTTAGATATATCAAATCTAATTCGTTACTTTTATTTAGGTGGCGACATAATTTTTTAATTCAAAAATAAAATACAAATCTGTCTTCTTATTGGTCGAAATAAGTATATTTTTTACGTGACGCTCCGAATGCTTTCCAAAAATGCCTACTTTATTTATATATATATATATATATATAAGATTTGCATTAGGACATCTTTTGCATTATATTTCTATGCTATTATATTAATAGAGATACTTGGTAGTTGTTTTTAAATTGATGTGCGATCACAAGTCCTTGCAATACACCTCTTTGTCATTTTATTTAAGAAAGTAAATGACTAAAATAATTAAAATAAGTCAAACCGAATAATCTAACCCTTTCTTATTATAGTTAATAATTATTTTGACCATATTGTATCATTTGTATGTATATCTTATCTAATCTATTCATTAGAATACTTTTTATGTATCAACTAAGTAGGGATGACAATGGATCGGAGGTGGGTCGGGTGTTGCTAGTAGAATTATGTATGGTGAAAATGAGTTGTCAGTCCTTGCTAGAACCAATGATTTCTCACATAACTAGACAAGTTTCAATTACTAATCAAATAATTTTTTTTTTTTTGAAACCAATCAAATTATTAATTAATGTAGACTTAATCTTTGAAATAAATCAATTTAAAAGGGAAACAAAATAGTAAGGTCACCATCCTAGTAGTTTATAATGTCGTCCAACCTTAAAAATACAACTAATTACAGCATTATCATGATCTTTATAATATCGTCCAACGAACCTTAAAAATACATACCATATTGATTGCTGATTATTGGTTCTGGTCTTCCATGTAAATCCCTAACAAATATGCTAAACTTTTAAGCTAATAGTTAGAGACTTAGAGGTCTATATCAATAACAACTAATAAGCTTTAATTTATATATAGGCAAAGTCAGACTCGATTGTTGATAGGGCGGGCTAATAAAAAGCTACATAATTTACTTAGTAACTTATAAGGGCACTTGGGCCTTTGGGGGAAGGGAACATGATGTACTTGGGACTTCATAATGTCTTGCCTAAACTTATATGCTAATTTTCCGGATCATCTTATTTTGTAGGTGTGTAATATGTCAAATCGAGTATGAAGAAGGGGAACAATTGGCTGCCTTGCATTGCCAACATTCATTTCATAAGGATTGCATAAATCATTGGCTTCAAATAAAGAAGGTAAATCTTCATTCAGCACATACATAGTATATATATATTTTTTTATATGGTCTAAATAGTAAGGAGAAGGAACCTGAGCATACCTCTAATGCTCACGGTTGTTTTTTGGTCAGACACTTTTGAGAGTGAGGGGGGAAGGGTAAGGGATCCCTACCCTCACAGTGTCTTTAGTGGAGATTGAACCCCCAACTTCAAAGTTGGAAGGTGCAATCTTTCCCACTAAACCAAGCTTAGCTTGGTTGATAATACAAATAATTGAATGATAGAAATTGTATGTCAATTGGAAATCTACTGTTCTGATTAATTTTCAATAATTTATCTTTGATGGCAGGTTTGTCCCATATGTTCTGTAGAGATTACACCACGGTGCAAATCTTGACAAGATAGAACATACAACATTACTATTTTCCTAAACGTAGCCCATTCTTAAATGTTTCGATTCAATTCGAATTTGCACATTTATTTTATGGGAATTGCATAAAGATTTTAAGTCTACTATGTAAATATACATATATAATTCTCTTAAAAAAAATGTAAATATACACTATATGTAATTGAATTAAACTAATAAACTTATTGTGAAATACTGAAATGCAAACAGGGTTACTTGTTTTAGACTGATGTAGTCCACTTTTTTTAAACATATATAGGTTTCCTCAAGACCTAAAATTAAATACCTACTCTTCTTTTAATAGTAGTAAGAAAATCTCAGTTATGGTATGGTCTAATATAAACAAATGCCAATCTCAACTAATTCTAATTACATTGCATTCTTCAAATGTTTGGATTGGATTTAGACTCAAAGTTGAGTTCAATTATTGAATACAAAACATGTTTCTCAAATGGTAAACTTGTAATTAAAAGCAACCTTTTTTTTTTTTTTTTTTAACTAGGGTGGCCTACGCGCGCGATGCGTGCGGAGGGACTAGCTCTTGCGGAAAAGTTGTATTGGCGTGTGTTTACATCTTTAGTTTGGGTGGTAGTTTTAATACGTACTATTTGGTTTATGTGCATTTGAAATCTACCAAAATCTTTTATGACGATTATTTTTTAAAATCCTCTAAAGTTTGACAGTATTATTCCAAAATTATTATTAAATACTACCTCTGTTTTTATTTAGTTGACATCATTCTATTATCACGCTTGCCAACGCATTTATTTAACGATTAATATTTCTAATTCTGGACATTGTAAAATTATAAAAAAAAGTAGATATTAATAAAATATACATTAAGACGATTCAAATAAGATCTAACTTGACTATGTTTTATCGTAGCTATAAATCACAAAAGCAAGCCAAAGTGTAGTTTGTGAATAGTGTAAAAGTCAAACGATGTCAACTAAAAAAAATGAGGAAGTAATATTTGATTAATTTGCGTCCCTTCCTATCATATTATTTATCCCTTCATCTCTTAAGGGGCAATTGTTAGCTTGAACTCTTAATTGATTTGCATGTTTCAATAATACTTAGTATAATATTTCTAATGTGTTTTCAGATGATTTTTTTGTGAGCTTAAGTCATACGGAGTAGTAATATGTGAAATATTGTAGCTAAAAACTTAATAATGTAAGTTCTTTAATGTTCTACGACCATCTAATATCTATATCTAATACTAAAACAATAACCACTTAGTTATATTTTTCCTCTTAAATTCCTTCATTTTCTCTCTCATAATTAATACCGTTTTTTTTTTTTTTTTTTTTTTTTTTTTTTTTTTTTTTAAATCATCGATTTCCCTTGATTTTAGGATTTTTAAGTTCTTTATACCTTTTGATAGCATCTGCTCAAATATCACTATTTAATATGAATTGCATTCACAATTCCATAACATTGTTTATGTGCCATCATATGATTAAAAATAGTTGCAATTAAAGGACGACAAGATTGTAAATAAGAAGAGCAATCACGAAGGAGTAAAAATTAACAGTTTCTTCGTACATATAATTTTTTTTCTTTTTAAATAATAATAATAATTACATATGAAGTATAAACCATTAGAAGTTATTTTTTTTTAATTAGCATTACAAGTTTTTTTGTTAAAAAAAAAGCTTTAAATTAATTGATGATATGTTTAATGAAAAAAAACATTAAATATATTAATGATGGTAAACATATTAAAGAGGGTAAAATTGTAAATACACATTTTTGTATACATTTTTGAGGGTATAATTGGTAGCACACTATTCCTAAGAATTATCTTATACATTTTATAAGGTAGGGATGTAACCGCTACTTAATACTTGAGGTAGCGGTTTTTAGGAGTAAAAGTAGCGGTTTTGCCTGTAATATTACAAAATTAACCTTTTGATTAGCAAGTTTTGTTTCACAATATGAGAAATTGGGGTGCCCTCGAAAACCACCCCCAAATAAAAAGGCCCTTTTAATGTAAAATTAGGGGTGGGACTTCAGTCAGGCGGTTCGGTTTGACCTCGGTTTAAGTCGGTTTTGGTTTGAAGCGGTTCGCGTTGAAATGGTTTTATTTAGCTGACGGGTTAGGTCGGTTCGGTTTTGATTAGTCATGGATCGGTTCGGTTTTGGTTTATATCTTTACGGTTTAAATTCGGTTTGGGTCATAAGCGGGTCGATTTATAAACGGTTCAGATCATGCCGGTTCGGTTTAGGGGGCGAGTTTACCCGGGTCGATGTCGGTTCGGTTTACAAATGGTTCGGATCATGCCGGTTCGGTTTGAAACGGGTCGGTTTAGGTGCGGGTTTACCCAGGTCAATGTCTGTTCGGTTTATAAACGGTACGGATCATGCCAGTTTAGGGGCGGGTTTACCCAGGTCAATGTTGGTTCGGTTTATAAACGGTTCAAATAATGCCGGTTCGGTTTATAAACGGTTTGTGTCATGATCGGATCGGTTTGAAACGGGTCGGTTCATGGACGGTTTTACCCCATCAATGTCATTTCGGTTTATAAGCGGTTTGGGTCATGATTGTTTTAAAGATCGCGTCATGACCATGATTTAATGAGTTGATACTTAGAATACGATAAATCGATAATTAAGGAAGTACAAGTATTCATTTAGATCGATCAACAAGTGTTTTAAGTTTTAATAATCATATATGTTTATCTATTATATGTACATACCAATGACTCAATGAGGCAATGATAGTATGATACCAATCGTACATTCGTACCATATATTATTATTTGTTACATATACAAATACACATATAATGATATACATATACATAAACAATGTCGTATTGAATCAATTTCAATTTCCAAACATTTGCATTTCTTATAATTTATAAGTTACACGAGGTTAAATGGATTAGTTTGTTACTTTATTTAGATTACTAACTCAAACAGCTTGATAGGCTAAATGGACGAAAGTCACTAAAGTGGTGATGAAATCATTATGCAGTACTAATGTACAAATATACAACGGTTAGATTGAATGCCCATGAAAAACAACGGTTAGATTTCATTAAAAACTAAACCTGCCAAACTAAACCCTAATCTACTCATACTCTTTAGTCTCTATTATTTATTATTTATTAATTATTATTACTTTATTAGTTATTACTTATTATTTTATGACATATACAGTCACAAACTCACAAATGTATACATATAGAGATGTCAGATATTGATATACATGAACTATGTCGTATTGAATCAATTTCAATTTCGAAACATTTGCATTTCTTACAATTTATAAGTAATAACTTACATACTACATTATATAGTTCGTTGGATTAGTTTGTTGATGTATTACCTACCAAACTAAACCCTAATCTACTCATACTCTCTAGTCTCTATTATTTATTAATTATTTAATATTATTACTTTATTAGTTATTACTTATTAGTTTATGACATATACATTCACAGACTCACAGATATATACATATAGAGATGTCAGATATTGATATACGTTAACTATGTCTTATTGAATCAATTTCAATTTTTAAACATTTGCGTTTCTTACAATTTATAAGTAATACTACGTAACTTACATACTACATTATATAGATAGTTTATTGGATTAGTTTGTTGCTCTATTAATATTATCAACTCAAACAGCCCAAAAGGCTAAATGGACGAAAGTCACGAAAGTGACGAAACCATTATATAGTACAATTGTAAAAGTGACAATGAAGTAAGAATCGTTTAAAGCTCAATTACGGTAAACTATAAATTGCAATTTTCTAGAATAATAATAATAATAATAATAATAATAATAATAATAATAATAATAATAATAATAATAATAATAATAATAATAATAATATGATGCGGCTAATCGGAAGCGGGTGAAGTATGAGGCTAGTTGTCGGCTGATTGGATACGATTTCATTCCCTTCTCCTTTTCTTCACTTGGGGAATTAGAGAAGGAGGCAGTTGCGTTGCTGAAGCGGGTTCAGAGGTTCTCGACGACGCAAGACATTGGGGCTCGTGTTGCAGCTTATATCTTCACTAGGGTAGGCTTTGCTATAGCTAGAGGAGTGGGGGCCCATATTGTATCTCGGCTTCACACTAATTTATTGTAGGTTGTATGACTTTGTCTGTTTTTGAGATAATAATAATAATAATAATAATAATAATAATAATAATAATAATAATAATAATAATAATAATAATAATAATAATAATAATAATAATAATAATAATAATAATAATAATAATAATAATTTATTGCTAGTGCTCCTCTTACTCCACTTGTCAAGCCTGGTGGTGGTATTCGTCCTATAGCTGTTGGTACTGTTTGGCGGCGGCTAGTTTCGAAGGTCGGTGCTTTTATGGTTGGTCAGTCTTTAGGAAGCTACTTTGATGGTCTCCAATTTGGTGTTGGAGTTTCTTCGGGAGGTGAGGCGATTCTTCATGCTGTGAATCGGTTGATTGAGGATCCTGGTTCCGATGTTGGTCTTTCTATGTTATTGGTGGATTTTCAAAATGCCTTCAATCTAGTTGATCGTGCGGCAATGTTGCGCGAAGTTCGTCTTCGTTGTCCGGGCCTTTTGCGATGGGTTAAATTCTGCTACTCTAATCCAGCTAGATTGTATTATGGGGACCACACCTTATGGTCGTCTCAGGGAGTGCAGCAGGATGATCCCCTTGGTCCCCTGCTTTTTGCTTTGGTTTTACAGCCTCTAGTGTGTAAAATCAGAGACACTTTTCATGTATGTCTTCAGGCTTGGTATTTGGATGATGGTACCGTTATTGGTGACACATTGGTTGTGGGGAAGGTTCTGCAGTTAATTATGGAGGAAGGGCCTCGTTTTGGGTTACATTTTAGCGTGGAGAAAACTGAAGTATTTTGGCCTTCAGAAGACCCTCGAAGCAGGCTTGTGGGTGTCTTTCCACCTAATATTGCTCGACCCTTGCGTGGTGTTAAGTTGCTTGGTGGTCCCGCTAGTTCCAATTCTGGTTTTGGAGGTGCGAGCTGTTGTTGCTTAGGGCTTGTACCGGAGTTTCTAAGCTCTACTTTGCATTGCGTACTTGTCCTCCTAGTACTTTTGAGACTGCTCAGCGTACATTCGATGGGGCTCTTAGATTTTCCTTGGAGCGTATTGTTACTGCTTCAGGGCCTGGGTTTGGCGATTGGCAGTGGCGGATTGCCACCTTGCGTTTTGCGTATGGCAAGCTG